GATATTTGGGTCATATGTAATTCTTGTGGTCATTGAAATACTCTTAAAATTTCAGTACGACAAAATGTTTCGCTGTCAAGATGTTCAATTTTCAACAAAGAAAGACAATCTGTCAGTACTTTATAGATTGTGACACTTTTTTCCACTGAAACTTATAGAATGTTCTAATGATCACCAGAACTATTATATGAGCAAAATTTTAGATTGAATTTTTTTTGTTTAACTTTACTGTATATACCTTTTTCTAGACAAAAATAATCAGTAAAATTGTCATAACTTTCGAAATAAGCTGCATCAGTCCAAACTCTCTCAGAATTTTTCTTAGAATAGTGTTCTCACGATATGGACAAGATCTTTTTTTGCTTCTATCTCGTTTAAATTGATTCTCTTTTTTTTCTGTTTAAATCAGTTGACCCGAATCCTTGAATTTATTCATAATATATAATATATTTCCATTGTACTTGAAAACATTCATAGCTCGTAACAGCCATTTTACATTTCCATTTAGGTCAACGTCTCATCTCCTGTATTAGGCTTGTCTTTTAAATGTCAAAATACATGATACACTTAGACTTGAATGCAAAACAATCTCTGAATAAAATAAATTTTGGAAAATGTTTTAATTATATTCTTAAAATTAGTTTTTTTTTGTAACCAAGGCGTAAAATTCTAGAAATTCATTTCATTTGCTTCAAGATAGCATTGTCTAAAAGATTTATACGCAATTAAAATGCTAACAAAATGTAATTATTGATTTTTCTGAGTAATTTTCTTTATATATATTCACATTAACGGTATGTATGTTTTTAAAAAAATTGACTATACAGCTATAGTATCAGTATAATAATGCCCATAAATTGATAATTATTTGGTAGTCAGTTGATTTGAAACCACTCTACCAATCAATACAATTTTGAGAGGATATATAAATTAATAAATAACATATAATTGTATGTACAAGCTCACTATGTAAAACATCAAAGTAATTGATGTTTATCTCTCTTTGAGATAGAAGCATTACGTTCTTGATATGGGATATGTTTTGCTATTCACTCGAGATGTACTCCGTTGAAGTCTTCCTTTCTAAATATGCACATAAATATTTTATTCAATATAAAACTTCACATCACTTACAGTCGTAACAGTATATTTTTAAATGCCAAGAACGAATCGGGCCATATCTGTTAAATGCAATAAGCAAAGAAATAGACACTTAGTCCATTATTATTCGAATAAATGTTTTCATCTGTTTTTCTCAGACCACAACGTAAAAAACATAATAATATCATTTTTTGGTTTTGTTCATCATAATTTTTCAACTTAGTTTCATCGTTGCATAAAAACAACAAAGGATGATTTCAAAAATTCCACTAGCTGAAACTATGCTGAACAAACCGTAGTAAAATGTTTATTTTCATAATTCTCATCTGAAATTTGATGATTCTGATTAAGGATGAAGAAATTGTAAAGAGAAACATATAAAACAAAGTGCAAGTTTCAACAAAAACAATTCCTACCAGATGAACATTAACATCTCATTAGTTAATAAACATTATTCTATGTTTCATTTCTTTCAACGAGTTGCTTTTGTCAAGAACTTGTCTCTTATGGAAGCAAACAGATGCATGTTTATCTAAAGTCTTGTCAAAACATCAACAGGAAACGGCTTTAATTAAATAAAGATTTAGTTGTCTCCCGTGAAATCTTTGCAATAATCATCTCAATTAATATTGGTTTTCAAAAATCCAGGTCTTTGCAACTCGATATGATATCACCGAACGATAATGATAATCTGCTTACAGAAACAGTATTAAATAAATTGTTATGGAAAACCCAAAAGAAATCTCAACCTTCGGTGTTCATGTTGTTCAACCCTATATGAAGTTCACGGCGACGAAGAATAGCCAAAATATCAAAAATACCCATCAATATAGGCATAAGAAGATCAGGTACTATAACTGAATAAATGGCCCAAAAAGCTGAGTATGGTTGAGCCATAATACATGTGCTATTCTTGAAAATGTACAAGACATGAAGATGGATATTCAAGACAGGCCACATGAGTACAACACCAATAATAGGTCGAATAGCTATTTTAGGCTCATTGAACACCCGAAATAAAATAGGATAAGAACAAAGAGCATATCGATCAATATATGCAAGAACAGTCATTGATCGACCTATCACTAAACTTGTATGAATTATATAGTGACGTATTTTGTAATAGATAAATGCGTATGTTACAGGATCGACATGATCGAGAACATACAATGAAGGAATGGTGCCTCAACTGATAGTAAACGTATTCAATATGGATGCTGTGAGAAGATAGAGTGTACAGGAATGACGAAGTGGTTGTTTGCGAGTAAACATAAATATATTTATAGTGTTACCAAAAAGATCAAGAACTAGTAATGTAATCATGATATATCGAGTTATCCATACGCGAACATCGACGAGAGGTAAACCCATAGCTAAGTATACTGTGTTGAAAGAGCACTACGAAAATATGATCACAGTAGTATATTCTTATGTAGATTAGACAAATCTGACAAGAAAAAACATGATTTCATATGAAAACTTCATCTATGGGCTTTGACATGTGATGGGCATGACATGATGACTTTGTTGAAAATATTACTGTGATAAGCCATAATAGGATAAAGTAGATTCGAGGTAATACTGAAGAAGCAATTGTTTATATTACTTCAAGAAAGATAATTTTTCATAATTTTTTAACTTCATAGAACTGGAATGAAAATTTGTTGTCGTCAATATGTGACAGAATGGATAGATAGAAGATCGGACATTTTGTTTTTGACAGAAACATTCAACTATAAAATGTAGATGTATCAAAGATGATTGACGCAAACCAACATAATAGGATATGTTGTTAGTGGAGCTCGCAGATTTATATACATAATTGTTACAATATAATACAATCTTAAATTAAATCAACGGCTACGCCAAAATATAAGAAGAATTATTTTCTTTAGTTTTTAATCATTTGAAACTATTTTAAAACAATGAAAAGCTATACAGTAGAAATAGAATTTTGTGCTACCATAGAAAAGGAAATTCTCGAAAGACTTACTAAACTTAGTGTTTGTAAAATTCCTTGTGCACATTAATAATTGTGCTATGGAAATCTTAAAGTATGACATGAAATTTTCGTTCACATGTTAGGTTGTTAAACTCTATATCTATTGCAAAGAAATTGCATGCTTGAGTTTCTTTTCATCTCCTGATAAAGTACCCAGGTTATCGTTTTCGATCATCCTTATTTTGCCAAAAACTGCTTTTTTTTTTTAGAAACTATTGTTTTCTGACAATATCGCTTAGCGACAAAACGCATCTTACTTCATTTCACCGTAGTGATGTGATTTCATTTTATGCTACATTTTACAAAATTCATATTTATTGCACGGTATGACGAAGTTCGCTAGTTTTAAGCATTTTCATTGGGCACTGTTTTCAGTCACCTGAAGCCTGTTTTCATCTTTCGAAACTTCTTTCATTTCTCAGGAATTGCATTTAAGATAAAACGTCAAAGTACATATTTGAACAATGTACACGCTATTCTGTTTCTAAAGAATAGTTTTTCTTTTAAAATATTTAACAATAGCTATAAAAAGAGAATATTTCATTCGATATTTGACCTATATTCTCATATTATTTTGGGTTGTACTTTTTTTGTAACTTACCTTTCATAGTTGAATGCTACTGTCGAAAAACAAATTGCTTTATCTCTCTTCTATTTATCTTGTCACACATTGACGACAATAAGTTTTCATTTCACTTCTATGAAATTAACAAATCATGGAGTACTTTTCAAGACGTATAAATAATTGCTTCTTCATTACTGTCTCGAGTCGGACCTTTAATGTTACAGCTGATCATAATACTATTTTTAACAAAGTCATCATGTCATGTCGATCACATGTCAAAATCTCTAGATCAAGTTTTAACATGAAATCATTCTTTTCTTCTCGTGAGATATTTCTGATCTAAATAAGAGTAGAGTGCACTGATCATATCTTCATAGCGTACTCTCGTCCTTGTATTCATCGCTCGTCAATATTCGCATATGAATGACTTGATAAATCATGAGAATATTATTGGTTTTGAGTCTTTTCAATAATAGTATTAACATATTTATGTTTACTCGCAAATACCCACTTTGCTAGTCGTGTACACTCTATCTTCTCATACCATCCTATCAAATAGCTTCTTTTCATTAGGAACATCATGTGCTTGTACTAGTTATATTGAATTCGATATTGATATTCTATAATTTTGACTATAATAATTAATTATAATACAATGCTTATTGTTACTAAACAGTATTATTATGTTTATCAGTTAGCGTGTTCAGTGGTCGAATCTTTTCTATTACCAGTGTTTCCTGCTTCCAGATTTCTACCATTGTCTAAAATTTTTCACTGATATTACAGATCATGCATAATTGACTAAATAAGTTTAACGATTATCGTTTCACAGTACATCATAATATGTTACCATAATAATAATCGTTCAAAGGCATTTCTATTTAACCGTTGCCTGAAAATTTTCAATCATACAACTCTTCATGTATTCAATTAATAGCAGCAAATATGTTATGTTAGAATGGAAAAAATGATTCATTTGTTCAATACGAATTGACTTGATTGCATCATCCACAAACTTTTTTCAAACATTAAAAACTCTACTTTATTTATATATGATCATTTGATGCCTTATAAGACCAAGAATAGAAGAAGGATCAAATAAACTTTCTTTTATCTTTAATAAAAACCACTTGGCCAAGCACATTCTCTGTAATGAAAGAAGCATGATGAACATTCTTTTTGTTCCTTTCATTTTCATCATCACGTAGATCGATATTCAATCCACCTATATCGTAGAAATAGATGAAGTAATTCGACCTATGATAATTTCTTTGATGAAAAAAAAAGAAAACGAGAACAAATATGTTCATTTAAATCGGTTCATTCGTTTCGATGACAAATATGAATAATCATCGTTTATGCATTATCATTACTTGTCTTATTTTTACTCTTATCCATTTCATATCAACCTTAGAATGTGATAAACAATCTAAGGAAAATGATGTTCCATTTCATGTAAAAGTTCATCAATCACCAATTATTATTATTGGTACTTCATTATATAAACACATTGATATAAATATTCGAAATTTATTCAATGTTACATTTCTTGTTTCATGTATTTTAAAAGGCCGACCAACTCAACGTATTATTCATATTGTTCAAGCAGGTAAAATATAAACAAACAAATTTAGTTTTCTTTTTATTTCTTAGAATAAATCAATTTTAGGTTCACTTCTTGGTCGTCGTTCATGTCAAAGATTAAATGTTAATCAACAATATATTGTTTTTCTAGAACCCTTTTTTGATGAAACTTATCGACCAGCAGATTTTGAAGAAGTTCCTTACAGTAACCAGATACATATTTTACTTGAAAAAACATGTGGCCTTTCACGAACTTATCCATTTACGGAATTGAATGATACTGAAGCAGTCTTAACGAATAAATGTCCGTCAGCTGTTTCTATGGATTGTCCATCAGGTAAGTTTACGTTAATATCTTTTTATATTATTCATGCCATATTTGTAGAAGTATTGAAAACAATTGTTACCTTATCAACAACACTATCACCAACAACAACGATGACAACGACAACAGCAGTTTTGACCACGGCAACAACAACTACTATTAATTTATTTGGAAAAGATCCTATTGATCTAGCTGTATTATCACTTCTTTTACACGAACATCAACAACAAAATCTTAGTCTAGATTTGTTTCAAGGTCAAAATCATAAATTACTTTTTTCCGATGATGAAGCACGAAAAAATGAAGCTAATCGATTATCATCTATTATTATTATTCATTTAATTTATTTAATTTTCTTTTGAAATACTCTTCATATTTTATATTCTAGAATGAATATTATTCTATTGTATTTGATTGTTTGCAGTGTTATAATTTTGTTTTTTATTTACAGATCAAAATTAGAAATTTTATGTTATAAGTAAAATTGAATATATGATAAATTTTTAGAAAGCACGAATTGGATAAGCTTGCGAAAAATTTAGTTTAAATGTTAGAACCTATCTGTTTGAAGATTAAAATAATAATTGTGAATTTTCATGTTGATCCAATAACGGTGAAGAACGGACGTTATTTCCCTGTTGTTTGTGCGAATTGACTTTCAGCAATAACTAGATTACAGATTTTGAAAAGAATATTTCATAGACCGCAAGTCTTGAAAATATAATTTTCATAATAGAACAAATTTGTATTTCTGTCAATGATATCTTTAATCTTGAATATAACACAATGCAACTAAGAATATACTTCTGCACGTATCAACTCGAAAAGATGGACTTCTACCGCGTTAAGATATACAATTTTTTGGTTGAACATCCTTCAGTTTTTTATTTATAGTAGCATATTCATCTGTAATAAATCTGCGTTTTTTTTCTAGAAATATATTTGCTCAGATTAATAAAAAATTGTATGCCTGTTTTCCATTTTCCAAAATTCACGCAGAAGAAAAACAAATTGTTACAAACAGTAATTAAACACTGGCTTTTACAGAAAAGTACTTTTTTTGGGTTAATAACATGCGTCGGGTTTTTTAGTTAAAGCGTGTTTTTTCAACATGAAATACTGTCTAAATACACCGGGCGATCGTGTTCATGCGGGAATGTATCTTTTAATATTCAATTAACGTTATTTATAATATCGTTCGCATGCGCTTGACATATTTATTTGTCATGCATTGAAACATGTTAGAGCGGAGTATTTATAATGTTGTTCTTCGAACAAATGAGTTATTTCACAAACAACTCAAAGGAATTATTTGGATTCGTATTTTGAGTAAACGAGCCATTTGATGAAATAGAAATCTGCTGACGTATAGACAAACAAGAAATAGACAGAGCTGTTTCATGCTCTTGCTCAAGCTTACGTGCTTCACAGGTCTGTTTCTGTTCTTGTTCGATGGATACGTTTCGAAAGTACGAAATCGTTTCTTCGATATTTTCTGAGCACGAACAGAATCATGAGATGACGTAACATGAGTTCCATGGAGAGGTGCACAACATTTAGAAAACATGTACAAGAGCGCAGAGTGGCACGAGACAGCTCTGTCTATTTCTAAGACAAATCTAATAATATCCTATTCAAAAGAATATCGTTTTAGTGGTGCTCTTTTCAAGACAAAAATAGGAATGTCGGACAGCAGAATGTATTTGAATATTATGAAAGAAAGACATAGTTGTATAACAGACATGACCAGTGCAAAGGAATAAAACAAATTTATCTTGATTAAAGCGACTTCTTGAACAAGTTTGAAAAATTATAAATAATATGATGCTGAGATCAGGTTTCTTTTAAATTTCTTCTTTGCAGCAATTAGTCACTCAGTAGTTTTTGAAATTCGTAACAGAATTTCTAATGATTCATAGTTAGAATTTCATATTTACCATATGTTTCCAATTTATTGAAAGAAATTATTCGTGAAGAGAAAAAAGAGTATTGAAAGTTTGTCTATTGTCACCACAATACTTAAAGTTCAGCTCAGCATCCTTTTCTTTGCATTGCTTACTTTTTGTATAAGCTGCCAAAGGCTATCAATTACTTTGTTCTCAAAAAGAAAAATCTTGAATGATTTTATAATCTATTCATTCAACATATAATGCATTTCAACATGTCTACTAAGGTCAATCAAAGCGGATGTCGTTTATGATCTGTTTCCCACCAGAAAACGATGACAAAACGACTACTTTTTTTACGATATTAAAAAAGATTGCGTTTTCTTGCAATCTTTGCCATAATAATAATAGGGTAGTATATATATGCCGTAATCCCACTACGTCACAGTCATATTTCTGTATCTACTATTATGACACTGTACGACTCGTTTTTACTTTGTATTCTTACCTTAAATAGATGTAAACGAATCATAAATTTTGATATGAGTGCATTTTGTTTTTTTCCAACACAATTTATGACGCACATAGATAACAACCATCTATCGTTTTTTATTATCTGCTCTTTTGTTTCTTTACATTCCTTATTGTGTTCTTCGCCTTCAACAATCAAATTACTATATTGCAAAAGTCTTCTTCTAGTTTTATTTTCATGACTCCTATCTCTAATTGAAGAATTTAGTGTGTTATAATGAATTCGAGTCGGAAAAAACCAGGCATATAATATATTTTCGTTATAAAAACACTTTTACTGGAATAATTAGCTTTTCTCACATATAAATTAAAAAAAGTTTCTTTTGACAAGTGGCAGTCTATCTCTTTCAACCTTCAAAATTACTTATATTATATACGGCACTCATAGAGATAGATGATGCATACACCAATATCTCATAAACATTAAATATTGCCCAAGAAAAATTTACATACTTCCATAGAAAAAAAACTAGAATTAATGAAAAATTTGTCTATTGAAAATACAATTTATGTCTATGTGCATCTTCAACTAGAAGTATGATATCATATATTCCTAGAAGAGAATCTGACGAACTGAAGTAAATTAACGAGAAGATATATCTGCATATGTATCCAGGAACCATTTTGGAATTATATAATGCCATTGATACCTATATTTTGATTTCAACAGTAATTAGTTGGATTGCTCTGATTGGCATTGTAGCAGATTAGCTCAAGCCATATTTTTGGTTTTTTTTCTTGTAAAAGCCTTTTTCTATTCATTCGTTTATAGTAATTGTTTTATCATATTTATATCATTCAAATATACGTCTATTAGTAACTTTTTTCGTGAAAACTCTAAAGATGTCGGGAAAGATTTCTCGTAGTCAATATGGCAAAACATAAAGTATAGTTGACATTTTCAAGTGGTCCATTACCGTCTAACAAACGTTTAAGTATCAATCAATAAAAGAAGCATTTATATGGCCATTGTGCTTCTAGTTGTGTAATATTGACTACGACATATCTTTCCGGAAGTGCTGAGATTTTTCAGCAAAGAAGTTACTAAGAGATGTGCAAAATTATGGTGTAAATATAATAAAACAATTGATATGAATAAACAACTAGAAAAAGTTTTTTATAGTGAAAAATGCATTGTTCGTGGAAATAAAACGTGCCCTAATGCTTTTTAAGCAAGAGATGACGACGTTCTTTGGTGCTATTCAGACTACAAAAAGAATACAGTTTTTATAACTAAGAATAATCTAGACCTAAATACAGGATAATAAAGACATACTCATATTGTACTCATACGGTTCTCTTACTATACTCTACGTGGCTTCCACTTCACTCTCATTGTGGTTTCATACTTTCATTATATTCTCATGCTCTTATTGTACTCTAGAGTGTATAGAAGTACGTTGTTTCCTCATTAGTTTCAGCTAACAAAGTCAAGTAGCGAGCAATATCGAAAAATAAAAACGTTTATTTCAAAGCCTATGAAACCTGCATTCTTTTAAACAACAGTACTTCAGATTCTTGTATCGCTATTAACGCCATCTTTTTCGATTCCATTGTGAAACATCTTATGTTTTAACAGGCTCAACACCTAGCAACCAAACAGCTTTATGTCTCACGCAAAAAGAACAGAAACAAAACATACGGATGTGACGCATAATGATTTACTTTTTTTTTCTTTCTTCTTCGGAATAAATATAAGATAGTCTTTTTTTAATATTTTCCAACAAGTTTATTTGTCTCTGTTTCTTTTTCCTTTAACTCAATTGCATAGATTTATTAAGTCAAATATTCTGTCCCATACATTGCTATCCACATTTCTAAAAGAGAATTAAAACACAAAACAATCATGGGTGCAAGATCTTGTAAAGGCACAGCAAATAGTAACAAGTAAAAATTATTAATTAGAACATAATAATTGATTTTACGTACAATCTATTTTCATTACAGAGCAATTACTATTGCTATTCTTGGTTTAGACAATGCTGGTAAAATCAATATATTAAGAAAAAAAAAAAAACAAAAAAATAAATTTGAAATTTTTTTTTTTGCTCTATTTTCTTAGGTAAAACAACAACAGCTCGAGTACTTGAAAAAGGTAATGAAATTTTCTATAAATATTTAATTAAAGTTAATAATTAAAATTTAGCTCCAGTCGATTCTGTAACACCAACAATAGGTTATGCTCAAACAGAAATTACTCTTAAAAACGAACGAATTAAATTAATTGATTTGGGTGGTGCAAAAACATTTCGTGATGCTTGGCGTCATTATTATGATGATGCATATGGATTTGTTTATGTTCTTGATTCAAGTGAAGAAAATCGTCTTGGTGAAAACCGTGATGTATTAAAAAAACTTTTAAAAGAAGAAAAAGTTAAAGGAAAACCTATTCTTATGTATGAAATAAACATCAATAGACAAAAATTTCTTAAATATGTACACGGATTTAGTTTTCTCTTGTTTTTTTTTTCTTTAGTTTAGCAAATAAACAAGATAAACCTGATGCACTTGATAAAAATGCAATTGTTGAAGATTTAAAAATTGAACGACTTGTTAATGAAAATCAAATATTATGTCGAGTGGTAACAATGAAAAATAAAATTCAAAATTTAAATAAAAAAATAATTTCTTTTGATCTTATTAGGAATTATGTACAGCTAAATCATTGAGTCGTAGTGGAAAACATTCTAAAATTGATGATTCTATTCGACATGGTTTTGATTGGCTTATTAAAACCGTTTATGACAATTATGATTCATTACATAGACGCGTCGAACAAGATGTTGAAAGACGTAACGAAGCTGAACAACAAGCTAAACGTGAACGACAAGAACGTGTACAAAAACAACGTGAAGAGTAAAGTTTTTTCTAAATTATTCTACAAAAAAATAATAAAAAAAGTTTCTGAATTTTTGTTTTCTTTTTTTTTTATAGACGAGAAAGACTCGAAGGTACTCAAAATGAAAATGATCAAGATGATAATACCATAACAGATGGCTTTATTCCTATTGGACAAGCTGTCAAAAATGCTGAAGTAAGATCTGGAACTACTGCTACTGTTAATGGCGACATATAGAAAAGAGAACTTGAATACTATCTCGTGTCTGTGATATATTTTTTTTTGTCTTTATGTTAACTAATAATAAAAGAGCACAGCTTGATTTCGATTTTATTATTTGCTAACTTGTATGTTTTGAATATATTACTGAATATGTTTAATTAGTTTTCGAGACTCATTCATTTTTCATAGAAGAATAATTACTATGAAGACGAATAATTCATATTTGATTGAAATGATTATAGAATTAACGTTCTTTGAAATCTTCTTTTTTTTTTTTTTCATTCTAGCGAAATTCATCCGAAAAATCAACAAAAGATAAATCCAATCGTATATCATCAAGTGAAAGAATAAAATCGAAAACAGTAAATGAAAATACATCTCTTCCACCAATACCAGCACCACGATCTTCATCTCATACTCGTACATTAATTGTTGATGAAAGTAGTGATGATCAAGAACGTCCAAGACGACATAGTACAGAAATTTCACCACGAAGAAAACAATCACCAGCACCTCGATCTATTTCATCAAATTTTGATGAAAATCAACAAATTGATTCAACAGATGAACAAACATCAATTCGAACAATAACTGGTAAAAAGAAAAAAGTTATTGGTGCTGGTCGACATCGTTTAAATGGTGATAGTCTTCCACCATTAGCTCCATCATCAGCAACATCACGTCGTGATGATTTAACACAAAATAAAGGACCACCTGCTGGTACACCGCGACCACAAGCTCTTGTTGCACAATGGGCTATAACAAGTCCAAGTCCTCAATCAACAGCTCAAAAATTAACAACAATTACTAGTGATAATGAATTAGATGATGATGAAGATAAACATAAATCATTACAAATAACTAAACGTACTGGATCTCCTCATCCAAATACAACAAATCGCATAATACCTGATAGAAAACATCAATTAAAAACAAATACTAATGAAAATTTAATCAATAATGATTATAAAAAATCATCGCGCGATAAACAACATCATAATGATTTACACAAGAATGGTGATGATGATGATAATAATAATGAAAATGTATCTCGAAGATCACCAGCAATACAAAATTCACGTTCAAGATATAATGATGAAGATGATGGTGAAAATGAATTAATTAATACTCGAAAAAAACATCATTTAAAAGAACAAGATCGTTATTCAAAACCACATTATGATAGAAATAATGATAACGATGATGATAATAATTTTAATCATGAATCAAGTAGACGAACAACATCATCAGCTCGTAAAACGAATACGGCTGCTGGTGATTCTTCACATCGATCTTATTCGAGAAAACATGAAAATGATGATGATGATTTACAATGAATAAATTGAGCGGGAATGCTTTTTCTCAATAAAATGCCTTTATTTCTGTTTTTTTTTATAAATTATTCTATTATATTGCTTAATGTGTGAAGAAAACACAGAAAAAAAATCTGTTGATTCATCACTATTTGATGAAAAAAAGATAGCTTGTAAATATTTACTTGCTAATGAAAATCTGTAACTATTATCTTCTTTTCTTTTTTTTTATGAAATGCACTCGATAAACTTGTAGATATAGAATGTAAAATAATTTTCATCACGATATCATTTGAAATAGTTTCAAACACGAATGTTTCTAGAGAAAAAAGAAGAAACCATAATAATTGCTATTATCTTTGTAAACAAAGAAAACCAATAACATCATTCATTCGAAAGAAGATGTAGAATATCATTTAAGAATACTTTTGAATTTCTATTCAATAAAATAAATTATAGTATTTATTATGTATACTAAGCTTTCTTACAGAAAGAATGAAGAAGAGAAAAATCGTATTTTTTTTTCGTCCATGATTATCGTCAATTTTGTTCACAAGATAAATAATAAAAGCATATAGAAATGGACGTGTATTGTTACTTGTCTATAGTCTATATATAAAGTTCTGTAAGATTTATTCGATCATTGCATTCAAATCAACTTGATATCAAAGTCTATTCTAACTAAGAATGTTTACTATTGCTAATATATTTTTTCTTATCGTCATATCCTTATGTTATGGTGTACCAACAATTGATCGACAATGTCCACCAGATACAAACGATTTTAAGACTAAAGTAGAAAAATCATCAATTGTTGTCTATGGAAAAGTAATGGCTAAAATGTTAGATGAAGAAAGTGATTCAACATTTCATGTCTTCTTTCAAGTTGATTGCATTTTAAAAGGATCAACAACATTACGACAAATTAATATAACAAAGGCTGGTAAGAAAAATTTTTCTTTAAGCAAAAAATAAACATCATCAAAAACAATATAAGTACATATCTTGTTTTTGTTAGGTCATGTAGAAGGTAAACAATATTGTCAAGAATTTCCTGTTGGTCGTGGTTATTCAATAGCTTTTCTTGAACCAATATTATCAAATACAACTAATTATTATACATTTACACCAGCTGATTTTGTTGAAATTCTTGTTGAAGAAAATTCAACAAATCTATTATTAGCACGTACATGTAATCTTCATCAAATAGTACCTCGTCAATCATCAGCATTAGCTATTGAAGTATGTCCAGCTGTAAGCACTGATCCAATATGTCATGAAACTTTTGATGTAACAACAACAATAATGACAACTGATAGTCTTATGGATATAACAAGTAATATTTTATTCGATGTAACAACAAATACTGTTTTATCTGATACAACAACAACAACAACAAACAATCTTCTAGTTGATACAACAACAAATAATGTGTTATCCGATATAACAACAAATATATCAAACGAAATTTTATCGATTTCAAATGATAATGAATTTTTACCACAGGCAATTAATCCGACACAACAAGAAATAAATGCTATTGAAACTAAATCTCATATAAATCAAGTTGATGTTGATCTACACAATAGTGCTAAATCAATAACATATAGTATATTTATGATGATGATAGCTATTGTCTTTTGTTCTAATTAATTTTTAAAAGCATTAACTACAACAAAAAAAATTTTCGTTACTTTTTCTTTTTAATATTTGTTCTGCGTACGTTTCCTATTTTATCAAAATATATAACTAAATAATTTCAGAAATTTTGTTTTGTTTTATACAATTTGCGCGTAAAAACGTTTTTTTTTTTTCTTAAAATGTACCTATGAATTTTATCGAAACAAAACCAATGCCTAATCGAAGTTTATTATCATTTAATAATCAAGACTTAAATGGAAATGTAAGAAGATTATCAAAAAAATTTGAAAATCTTAGTGAATTAAGAATAGAATCTTATGAACGATTATCTTCTCCAAAATCTCAATTATTTACTTCAACTCATAAATCATTAATAACAGATGAAAAATTTGAAAATCAAAATAAACAAAAAAAGAATTATATTTTAAATAAATGTTCAGATACAATATCACTTTATAATACTAATTTACATAAAGATCGATCAAATTATTTATTAAATAAAAATTCAATATCAATCATTGATAGTTTCTTAAATTTAATATCAAATAAAATGTTTATAAGAATTTTTAAACAAATACTTGTTGGTAGTTCCATTGGTATTCTAAATGGATCTCTGATTGGACAAAAAAGTCAGGTTTCTTTTTCTCTATACTTTTATTTTCAATCAAAATTGACTATAAATCTATAGATCTTACAATTAAATTTATCGGTTTATTAACAACAACTATTTTTATTAGTGAACATATTCTTCATTTTGTACAATGGACTTCATTTAATATTGGTTATTTAGTCTCTCTATTGTTTAGTTTTTTGTTAAAATTAGGCAATAAAACTTTTGTTTTAGGTAAACTTGAATATGATAAACCAAAAATGTCTTATTCAAATTCATGTGGAATAATAAAAAATATCGATAATTTCTTTATTGATAATATGCCAACGATTGTTTCATTTCTTTTTTGCTTTTGTACTTCAATTATTAATTAATATTTCAAAACTTTATTTTAAATTACTTACCAATCGTAACAATTTGATTGAACAAAATATATCAACAAAATTTATTTCTATTATAGATGAATCTTAATAATTTATGTTTATAATACTCGTGTTATAATGAATTATAAACATAAATGAAATTTAGATTTTATTCTTTAGTGAATGAACAAGATTTATCATAAATATTCACTAAGTTAACACTAGTTTTTCTTGTTTTGTTTGTTCAGACATATACATATATTTGATTGAATAGTAAAACTGCGACACCTTTAATGTTTAGAATAATTAGACTGGTCAATATCTTCTCCAACGAGTCATTTGTTTTTTTTATGACAGCTGATTTACTTCTTCTCAGTGCATATTACAAGGGGTTTTACAAGACAAACAGAGTACAGAATATTTCCCATGTGTGCAATTGTAAATAATCCTCCTACATAGAAAAAAAAAGACACCCCAAAGGGTAACAAAAACAGTTAATCATCAACTTTATGAATCATTTTTTTTGTTTTGATTAAAAGAAAAAGAAACTTTTGCATATACAGATATTTAAAAATGCATCTTGAGAAGAAAACATCAACCGAAGAGACACCAATAGATGGTCGAGATCTCATATGTCCAATATGCATGAGTAAGAACAATTATTTGATTTTAAAATATTCTTATTTTTCTTTTCATATACAAATAGCTATTGACGAAGATCCTCATATAACATCATGTTGCCATCGAGTATTTTGTTCAAAAGATGCTAATTCAAGAAAATATGATAATGGTTGTCCATTATGTCGTGCAGAAAATTATTCATTTCAACAATCTACTAAACATAAACAAATGCTGGATAAACTTACAATACAATGTACTTGTTCAGAACGAGTGCTTCATCATGAATACGAACATCATTTGGCACGATGTTTAAATATAACATTTACTTGTCCTCATAATACCTGTAGAGAAAATGTAAATCATTAATAGTAATACTAAAGAAAAAATTTTTTTTTTATTTTTCTTCTAAATAGAACGAGACAAAGGAATATAATTCCCAAGACCTTGTCAAGCATCTTGCACGAGCACATTGTGATGAAGTACCAATGCTTGGTTCAACATATATAAATAAAAAATCACTCGAACCATATAAAAAAGCATCCGCTAAGTATGAGGATCTTGTTTCAACATTATATACTGAACTTTATCCAAAAATGATTGATGTACAAATAAAAAATGCACCAAATATTATAGAAACTTCTCCAATATTTAAATGTCCTAATGGACATCCATTAATTGATGCTGATCGTACAAAACGTAAACGTAGAGATGGTAGTTCATATTCTTCATCAGGTTTTAGCTGTGACATATGTCACCGATCATTTCCAAGTGGTCAATCATGGCATTGTTCATGTGCTCAAAGTGGTTTTGATAAATGTGTTGGTTGCGTTGTTTTTCAATTATATGATATTCATAATGATGCATTAACATTAGCAAGTCAAGATAATGAAGAACAACAACATCGTTTTAGACGACAAACAATACGAAATGCTGTACGTTTACCACGAGGATTATTTCGTTTATTAACCAGTAATATGGATGACGATGATGATGATGATGATGATGATACTGATGATATTGTATTACAACGTGCATCATCATTTTTAACTCAACATACTACATTTGAAGGAACAGATGATGATGAAATTGACGTTAATCCTCGTTAAAATTAATTAACAGTATTATAATGACTTAATTTTCTATTATATCCGCAGTTAACACTAAAACATGTAAAATATTCTTTGTAATTTCCCTTTTTGTTTTTGATCGAATCTAACCTATTCGATTAATTTGTCTTCGAGTTTTCTATCAAATTGATGATATATATATATATCAGCAGCACTTTTCTGTATATTTTTATAGGTAGAAAATACATAACACTTTGATGTTTATCCTACAATGATTTATTTTAATAATCAGATTCAATAAATCTTTAATTTAATATTATTTTTCTTTAAGTATTGCTAATTGAAAAGAATTTAAGTTAACTTTACTAATATTTTACATTTTTGTTACATGTAATATAATTCAATTGTGTATATATTTATCTTTCTTGATGACCATGATTAATTCATTCATGAATAATGTTTGGAAATTATTTCTATCAAGCTAATTTGATTAATTATTATTATTTAAAATTTTAGCGAATCAATTGAAGACAACAACACAAGCAAAAGAAAAGAAAACAATCTTGCTCATTTTTTATTACAATACTTTTAAATTCTCGTTTTTTTTTTCTTTGTTCTTTTCTTTGTGAAATGTAAAAATAGCACTTGGAGAGTATTGAGAAAGAAAAAGAAGAAAAAAGTGTTGTCGGCTACTAAAATCTATTCATATTGATTGTAGGAAAGGAAACGCAAACAACCTAAAAAAAAAATAACAGAACAACAACACAATGCCATTATTATATGACAATAACATGAATTTTGAATTAGAGAATTTTAATGATGATGATGATGATGATGATGATTATGATGAACATTGTCATGGTTTATTAATTCGACGGAAAACTAGTTATACTACTCGAGTTAATAAATCTTCATCAAAAGTAAAATTATCTGCTCGTCAACAATCTGAAACTATTAATGTTGATCAGGCTATAGCATGTGCTTTAAAATCACGTTCAAAAGCGTTTCATTATACACAAAAAAACCTACAATATCTTCCACCATCTATTCAACATCTGACAGTATGTGATTGTTTACGTGAACTTGATTTACATGGAAATCAACTTAAATCCTTGCCTAATGAAGTTGAAAAATTGAAATCTGTTGAAATTTGTAACTTAGGTGAGATGAAAAAGAGATTTTTTTTTTCAATGATTACAATAATATTCTATGTAAATAATGTCTAGAGCATTTCTTATTATTGAGACGTTGTATCAACATGAATTGTTTTTTTTTCATTTTATATACGAATTGATGCTGATTAAGAGTCATGATTTAATTTAAAATTAGAGAGTTTAGTTTTTGTAGCCTTTAGAAAGAAATTTTTAGACGAACTACTAAAACTTGGATCAAATGCCAATATTGAGCTTCTATTTTTATTAAAAACTTTCATGATTGAATTATTTTATTGGATGTTTGTAATTTATGTTAACACTTCAAACATCTGATTTTTCTAGGATGATTAAAATCAATCATACTAACATCCACTATGTGTAAGTTATAGAAAAAATGAACCTTTAACAATGCCCATAGAATCAAGCTCTACCATACTAACATCTATAAACACACACACTATTTACCTTCTCACTCATGTAAGTACTATCTTTGAATTATTTTGCTGAAAAAAATTTTCTGGAAGCATATGAGTATAGCTTTAAAATATATTTGTATGTCATGCTCATATATTTGGAGAAAAAAAAATTCTACAGAAAAATGATTTAAGGATGGCACTTATTCGAATCGGAAAGCATGTTATAAGTACTTGTGAGTGTTAGTCTGATAGAACGAGATTTGATGAACATTATTGAAAAAGAAAGTTTTCTATTAATCATACAAAGTGAGTGTTGATGAGAGTATTTTTTGATAGAACTTGAAAAATTGTATGTTTGAATTGTTGACATAAATTATTAGTATCGTATTTTATTTGAATTTCAAAAAAGTACTTTTCGTTATTAACAGAGAAAAAAGATAATCAAAATCAATCCGATATGCTATCGATTAAAATAAACTTCAATATATTTCTTAGGAAATTTTTATATGCCGACAACAAAACATTTTTTTTGCTATTTGTTACAAGAGCAACTGACTTCTTTGATCATATTTGTTCTTCTCTATGAGTTATTCGATAAATTTTAAAAATGCTAAGTATTGACAGGTACTGCTAACAGTTTATGATGAATAGATCCAATCTTAAATAATCATAATTGGTAATAAGTAAAGTTGAGATTTTCAAAAAAAAAACAAAACATTCAATAAATAGCAAATCATCTTCTTCATTATTACTTTAATATAGAAATAACGTTTCAATCGATTTAAGTACGAATACTCTTTCGAAATGAAATCCATAGCATATATTTGTTTCTATGACTAGTAATAAAGTGAATTTTACAGAGAATAGTCAATCAAGATGATTTTTGTTCTATTAGCACGGATTATCCTTGATTGGGATTTGTCTTCATTGATAAGGATTTGTTCCGTCACTGTCGCCCCTAACTAATATCTGAGGAAATTTCAATCAGATATTTTATTAACTGAATGATCATCCAACGTTTACTTTATTGAAAACAATACGAGCAATGGCACACAAAAACATAAAATGGAAAAACAAAATGATTGCTTAACAGTATGTTCTACATTTGATAGAAAATTCTACAGTAGAAAGATTACCATTTGCACCTTCTAATGGATGACCTATAAAGAATGGGAGACATTGATTTTCTTTTGTTGAAGACATATTTCTAAGATCATTCGATAAAGAAATTTTTCGTTGTACAAAACTGTTGATTTTGTTCTTCAAATCAGTTTCTCTTATTATCGAAAAATCGAAAAGATTGACAATCATCAAGCTTTTAGATTACAACTGTCAGCACACACAACAATTATTAAAAATATGGTTAGGTAACAGTTTCGCCGAAATTTAAAATATGCTCCTACGTACGTTGTGAAATGCTTCGTTTCGCGATGTTTCGAAATTTTATTAAAACAACAATTGAAAAAAAAACCAATTTTTCAAACCAAAATTAACAAGCAATGCAAAAGATTCTTTCTAGCAGCTCGATGCCATTGTTGACTATGTAACGATTCTTGTTGTTCCGTTAAAATGTTACATCATTTTGTTTAATATTAAATCGTATTCGATGGCATAATGATAAACTATTCATAGAACTCATTAATTTTTGAAACTAAGAGTTCTAAAAGCGCATTCAAAACAACATATCAACAAGTGTTAGTTTCAAGCTTTTGCACCTTAAGGACATCATTAGATGCCTTGAGAAGATGTTACGA